GCTACGCCCATGCGCAAGACAGCAAAAATATATTCACTATCAAGAGGAAAACTTACAAGATTAGGGTTATGTAGAGTTACCTCATACAATCTCAAGGAAAGCTCAAACAAAAGAACCTCCTACCATAAAACCACCAACAATGGACTCCTTTCTTCGACTCACCAATGCCGCGAAGAAATGCCAAAAAAAGGGCTCAAGATGAGCCCCAAATGGTGGTGCTAGGGTTTTGTAGCAAAACCGCAATTTCCAACCCCCAATCTTCTCTTCAAGCTCTCTTTTCTCTACAAAAGAGATCACCCTCTTTTTCTCCACATTTCTCTCTCTAGAAAAACCTTTTATGAGCCTCCACTAAAAAAGACTTCCTTTTAGTGACAAAAATACCCCTCACCATAGTGAGAAATACCACATGGGGTGGTGATTTGGCATCACCTCCCAATAATCTCCACCTTGATGCAAAATTACACCCTTGCCTTGCTAATCCATCACTTTCTTTCTTTCTTGAAACCTAAAGAAATTAGACTATATTCGAACTTCTCTACTTGGATGGTCTTTGTAAGTATATCCGCAAGGTTGTCTTCGGTCTTGATCTTGACCAATCGAACTTGTCCATCTTCAACAACTTGACAGATATAGTGATATTGAACCAATATGTGCCTTGACATCTTGTGGTGAACCGGGTTCTTGGCAAAATGGATAGCATTCATATTGTCACAAAATAGTTCCATGAGCTTGCACATAATACCCCTCTCACTTATCAACCCTTGAAGCCACACAACTTCTTTTGATGCCTCCGTTGCCGCCATGTACTCGACTTCGGTAGTTGACAATGCTACCGTGTCTTGGAGCCTTGACATCCAACTAACCGGTCCATTTGCAAACAAAAAAACAAATGCGGTAGTTGACCTACCTCTATTAAGATCACCAGCAAAATTTGCATCCACAAAACCTTGCATTTGCGTTGAGCCCTTGCCAAATGTGATTACATAACTAGTTGTACCTCTCAAATACTGAAGCACCCATTTTGTTGCTTCCCATTGAACCTTTCCAGGGTTTGCCATAAACCGACTTAAAACTCCAACCACATGCACGATATCCGATCTTGTACATACCATGGCAAACATTAAACTTCCAATCTCATTTGCATAAAGAACCTTAGCCATGCTTCTTTCTTCTTCCATCTTCGAACTTTGTATTGAAGACAATTTGAAGTGAGGCGTTAAGGGTGTCTTCACCGGCTTTGCATCTTTTATGCCAAATTTTCAAGCACCCTTTCTATTTTGTCTATCCCTTTCAATTTCAATCCAAAGAATTTGCCTTGTCGGGCCGAGATCCGTCATCTCAAATCTTTTGCTCAAAGAAGTCTTGAGCTCATCAATTTTTGTCTTATCTTTGCACATCAAAAGCATGTCATCCACATATAAGAATAAAATCAAGTAAGTACCATCATAAAAAAACTTTAAATAGATACAATGGTCATACTTACTTCTTGTGTGCCCCAGGCTCATCATGAACATATCAAATGTTCTATACCATTGTCTTGATGTTTGCTTGAGCCCATACAAGGACTTCTTCAATTTGCACACCAGTCCTTCTTTACCCTTCTCTATGAAGCTTTCTAATTGTTGCAAGTACACTTCCTCTTCAAGTTTTCTATGCAGAAAAATCGTCTTCACATCCATTTGCTCAAGCTCTAAATCATGCATAGCAACTAAACCAAGCACCAAGCGAATTGAGACCAACTTGACAACCGGTGAAAAAATTTCAACAAAGTCAATCCCTTCTTTTTTCGAAAACCTTTTGCCACCCATCATGTGCTATATCTTTCAAGCTTGCCATTAAGCCTCTTCTTTATCTTGAACACCCATTTACAACCAACAGCCTTTCTACCTTTTGGTAGCTCCACCAAATCCCAAGTCTTGTTATTTTTTAGGGCCAATATCTCTTCTTTCATAGCTCTTTTCCAATGCTCGGTACCACTGCTATCAATGGCTTCACGGAATGATATTGGCTCTTCACTTTCGGCTATCAAAGCATGCAGCGTATTTGGATCCACATAATCTTTGTGTCACCCGAGTGCACGAGCTTCTCTAGTAGAACGCCTATGTGCCAAAGGCACAACTTCATCATGATGGCCATGTGGTTCTTCATCTTGACTTCCGAGTTCTTCATGTTCTTCACCATGATCAATGGGTATATTCTCATAAGGCATAATTGTACTTGGTGGAAGTGTTTCGTGGTTGCCATGAAATTCTTGGCTCTCTTGTTGCACTTCATGACCATTGTCATTTATCATCATCCCCTTTGCCAATACCTTGGATTCATCAAATTGCACATCACGGTTAGTGATTATTTTTCGGGTACTTGGATCCCATAATCAGTACCCCATCACACCCTTGCTATAACCCACAAAGATGCACTTCTTTGACCTTGGATCCAATTTGTTCCTTGGGCAACTTAGAATAAGTGCATATGCATTACGATTCAAAAAAAAAAAATAAGTGCATCTGCATCACAACCAAATATTTTTAAATCGAAATAGTCACTTGAAGTTCCATACCATACCGCATTAGGAGTTTTGCTTCCCAATGCTATCCACGGTGATCGGTTGATAAGATAACGAGCCATTGATGAATCACCCCGTTCATAAGATAAAGCTCCCGCATTAGGAGCTTTAGAAGAATTCACTTCATTTCTTTTAAAACAATTCTTCCTTGTATGACCAGGCTTCCCACAATGCCAACACATATTCTTGTTATTGGGCCCTCTAGATTTTGATCGAAATCTTGAATTACTTGAATGATTCCTCGATGAATCACCCCGTTCATTCCATCGACCTCTTGCCACAAGAGCTTTCGTCTTCGATTCTACTGAACTTCCCAATGATGTTTTCTTTCGAAGTTCATTAGCAAGTAGGGCACTACACACCGAGCCCAAATCAAGAGAATCCTCTTTACTACAACTAAATGTAGTAACAAAGTTATCATAGGATTCCGGTAATGAATAAAGTAAGGTGACCGCCTTATCTTCATCGTCCATTCTCACACCAATACTCTCAAGTTGATAAATGAGGTTATTAAACTCATTCAAGTGTTGCGACACATTTGCATATTCTTTCATTCTCAAGGTATACAATTTTCTCTTTTAAGAAAATTCGGTTAGTGAAAGATTTTGTTTGATACAAACTTATCCAATTTTTCCCACAAATCTTTTGTCGTCTTTTCACCAACAATATTAAACAAAATCTCATTCGCTAAACACAAACGAATAGTGGCCCGTGCCTTCATATCGAGTTCGTCCCAATCATCATCGGTCATATTTACCGATTTATTATCCTTTTGCCCTTGATGTATCAATAAATCTTGTATTTTTAATTTCCAAATTTCAAAATTATCATTCCCATTAAACTTCTCCACCTCAAACTTGTAAGATGCCATTTTTCCAAAAATACTACACTAATTCCTTGAGCTCTGATACCAATTGTTGTAAAATCGGGATAACCCAATCTCCCCTTTTGAGCAAATCGGGATATCTAAAATTCCACTAGATGTGGTGTGCACTCTACCACAATGATTTCAACACTCAAATAACATGCCCAAGATGCAATGATTTCAACACTCAAATAACATGCCCAAGATGCAATGATTTCAAAACTCAAATAACATGCCCAAGATGCAATAACAAGTGCAATGTAATTGGGAAAAATATAAGAACAATAGAACAAGCAATATGGGAAATCTTCAAACCACAATACAAAAGAAAAGTAGAGAGGGACACACACATATACGTGGTTCACCGAAAATGGGCTACCACGAGCAAGACGATAAAGATGTATTCACTATCATGAGGAAAACTTACAAGATTGGGGTTATGTAAAGTTACCTCTTACAATCTCAAGGAAAGCTCAAACAAAAAAACTTCCTACCACAAAACCAACCTACAATGGACTCCTTTCTTCGACTCACCGATACCTCAAAGAAATGCCAAAAAAAGGGCCCAAGATGAGCCCCAAATGGTGGAGCTAGGGTTTTGTTGCAATGTTGCAAAACCCCAATTTCCAACCCCCAATCTTCTCTACAAGCTCCCTTTTCTCTACAAAAGAGTTCACCCTCTTTTTCTCCACGTTTCTCTCTCTAGAAAAACCTTTTACAAGCCTCCACTAAAAAAGGCTTCCTTTCATTGACAAAAATACCCCTCACCATAATGAGAAATACCATGTGGGGTGGTTGGGGTGGTGATTTGGCATCACCTCCCAATGGACTGAGATTCCTAATTCCTAAATGGAACAGAAAGTGGGGACTGAAGAAAGATATCTAATTCAAGGTGATAAGAGGTTATAGGGAAAGAGAGAGGGGTGGGGGGGGTAGGAACAGAAATATAGAGAATCTTAATGTAAACTAATTCAAGGAGTACGAGTTTTGAGAGAGACATTGAGCAAAAGAGAATGCTTAGAATTTATGGTTTTTGGCTTCCCAGAGGGAGGGAGGGCGAGGGGTGATGAGTTCAAAGATTTAGTCTTTTGTAGGGCTTTTGAGCTTATGGTGTTCCAAGAATTTTTCTAGTAAACTATCAGAAAAATAAAAGAGAAAGAGAGAGAAGATGATCCATATTACGTCTTCCGCACAAAATAACATCAATCTAAATCTAGCATCAATTTTGTCTAGAGAAATTATCTTCAAATGTGCAATAAATAAGTTCAATTGAACAATTAAATATCAATTTTTCAATTGAACAATGAAACACCCAATTTCAGCCTCATATAGACCCGAAAGTGTTTTTTGGGTTAAATTAATTATGGGGCCTTACAAAACAAACCACAATTAAAAATTGGATCCAATCCAATAGTAAATTTGCTTAAAAACAGCGAGTAACCATTATGTAAACTGCCGAAAGAGAGTATTACGGGAGAGACATACTTATTAAGAGAGAGAAAGAGAGAGTAAATGCAATGAATGCAGAATATGAATTAGCAAAAATCTAGAGAGAGAGAATGGGGTACTAACTCTTGCGTGGAGTACTCGTAAACCTCATCAGATGATGAGAAGATGATGGCGGCAACGTCAACCTCGCAGAGAAGAGAGAACTCAAAGGCCTTTCTCAGCAAACTATCACGCCTCTTTGTGAAGGTCACCTTCCTGGCGTTAGGGTTTTCGATTCTCTTCAGCTGGACTTTGCCCCTTCCCATTCTTCCCCTCGATCTCTATACCAGAAAAAGCAGGATCTCTCTCTAGGGCACCTCTTCCTACAGGCGTGGAGGACAATCTAGAAAGAGAAAAAGATCTTTTATGGTGGAGTGGGAGTAGAATATTCGTCGAGTAAGTGGCAGGGCTCTGCAAGCACGGAGTATCGGGCGATGGCCAGACGCGAGATCCAGAGTGGCAGGAGATCACATCACTGAAACGACACGATGCGATTCGCATGATCCTAAAGCTTAGTGCCGCTCTCTCTCTCCTGCTCATGGTCATAGGCTCACAGCGTAGTTTACTGCTTTATCTCTCTAGCACCTTACTTTGTAGTAGAGAGAAATTCTCTCTCTTGACCGCTCGCTCATCGTCTAGCAAACATTTGATGCTTATGGAATCGCACACTGTCTTATACGAGGATTCCGAGGATTCTCTGTGCCTTTCTCTCTCTCATTGGGGGCTATTTAGATGCCTTTCCTACCCTTCTGACATCGGTAATTTTCGTCGTCGACGGTCTTCAATTGCAGGTCCAAGTTATCTATATTAAAAATGGTTTTTTTAGGGGTTTTCTCATTTTGGCAAAAAGTATTTTGTTCCTGAACACTTTTTTATATCTTTTTATCTTTTAAAAAATATTAATTATACCCTCATTTGCCTTTGCCAAGATATTTTTCGAAATCTATTTCCCCGTTACTTTTTTTACTACACTTAGATATGTTTTTTTTCCCGTACGGTATTGCTCTCCGAAAGGGTGGGGGCGTGGCAATTTTGTTTAATTTATTTTAAATAAATTTTTTTTATTTTTAAATTTTTTATTTTTTATCTTAAAAACAAAATTTGCTACTACAGTACTCGGTCCTATTTGGGCCGAATTACTCGAACTGAAGGCGATTGGACATGGGCCGACTAGTGGTTTTCAACACTAAAATATAATTCGGTGGCTGTCTTACCGCTCACGAGGACTCTCTGCTTTCTTATCTAACTTGCTGCTGCGAAACAAATTGGAGGGAATAGTAGGAAAAACGGTGCTGCGAAACAAATGGGAGGGAATAGTACGAAAAACGGTGCTGCTCAAATAAAACGCTTTGGGTGGTGGAATTGCAAAACCAAAAAATGTTTCCTACGAGGGTGCGGTTTGTAAAGAGCCGAAGCATTAAACAATCAACTTAAAACCTATCTTCAACTAGTGTCAAGAAATATGGTTTTAATATTGGAAAGTTTTGTGATAGCCTTTATAAAATTTAAATTTTAAAAAATAGTACAGATCGAGCAGATCTATGTATGAAAACTTAAAAATTAATAGTCCAAAAATACATTACAAAATGCACTATTTCTAAAACTTAAAATCCATTTTTTTTTCATGTCCATGCATCTTGATGTCAAGATTATCAATTTGATGTTATCTTTGCATTAAAACAACCTCTTCTAGTGAAAGTTTGAGGTAGGCTCTAATTTGATTGTTTAGAGCCTAGGCTCCGTATAAACTTTTCCCTTCCTATAAATCCTACCATTGTTTTTAGAAATAATTAGCAGTTTTTTAATATATCAAGGGGAATGGAAACTTAAGCTACCACCACGACCTCAATGCTATTCCCAACGGTTAATTTTTAATGGATAGGTACGCGAACAATTTAATTTTTAATCTTAATTGAAATTAGTTTGGTCGCACCCTCGAAATAAATTAAGCTACACAGTTAAGATACGATTTTATTTTTAAATTTTTTTACATATTATTTATTGACATCAAATTTTAAGCATACACTTCTCTCTTAAACTCCATTTGTAAAAATATAAAAAAAATTATTCTAAGTAAAATATAATAATCAAAATACCCTTAAAGTTTCAATGGGTTTTTAATCATTTTACCTTATCAAAAAAAATTATTAATATTTTTTATATGGGTGTCTTATCGAAATGATAGAACATACCGAATTTTAGATTTATATAATTTGTAAAAAAACTAAATCTTAAGTACTCCAAGATATTCAAATCTAGATCAAAGCCAATAGCTTAGTTGATGTACATTAGTCAGCGGAGGGAGTGAAAGTATATACCTCATGCACGGAAGGAGACGTATAGAAATTAAAGTAAGAGAGAGACAATGCCATTAGTATTATAGAAATGAGTAAGCCACGAAAATATGGATCGGCACGCAGTACTTGCATACCATGGATATTATGGATCTTTTGTTGGATTGAATGGACACATTCTAGCATACCCCTATAGAACAATAAATGCTTAAATGTCCTTTACTGTACTTTGTTATGATATTGATTTTCAGTTTCATGATTTTATAAGTCTTTATAGCACCTTCCGTCAACAAGACTACAGCATGGGCCGAGCTTTAAAAAAAATGCAGTGGTTTGATAACGCTGCAGCTCTATTAAAATAAGTAAATCTCACCTTGTAACCTTTTTAATAAAATTGTAGAATTTTATAAATAAATAAAAAATTATGTTTGTAAAAAAAATTAAAATTCTAAGCTCTAAAAATAGTATATATATTACAACATATTGTTAGGACCAGTGTTCGCAAAATCGAACCGAAACGAAAAACTGGACATGGGCCTCGAAACGGTTTAACTGGCCTAACCGGTAGACCGGCCAATTCAACCGCTCTAATTGAGTAAGTCCTGAGCAGGCAAAAAATTGTTGAAAAAAATTAAAAAAAATCTACTAACATATTAAAAGCATAAAAAGAATGACTAAAACAATACACATTCAAATGAAGTTGAAAATTAATGAAAAACAGGACTTTAACCCATTTTATATTTTTC